ACTTTTACTTTGTGTAGTTAAGTCTCCTTATTCTTACTTCGTGGAAATGACCAAGCGTGCTTGAATGTTCACCGAGGCTACTATATTGTCTGCACCGTAACATTTGGGCTTCAGGTCGGCACCGTACTAGCAATATAGAAGTATTACATATATGGGTGTGAATTAATGCTTCGGTGGAAACTATACCAGTGTTCTTTGTTAGAAAGCACCACTGAACTCTATATACGAGTACACTGGAATGCGCATCGAAGAAAATTCATGGCACAAATTGATCAGCGCCATTTTTGTTTGGCCTGGTATTTGAGCAAATCAGAAGCGCGTTTCACGCGCGGTCCCGCTATAATGTAGATGACGGAGATGAAAAAGTAACAAAATAGAAAAAGTTTCTTTAGGAGTTTGTAGTAAAAAATTTACGTAAAATTAATAAACAAAATTAATACACTACTTAATAAACAAATATGTATAAAAGGACTTTTGCTCGTTAATACGATATAAGTATAAATTTGCCCATTAATACAATGTAAAAATCTACCGTTTTTAAAATAGTAAAAAAGGCACAAAGTACACGCGCACTTGTTACAAAATATCATTGTATCTTCAAACAAAATGGTTTTATTTTAATTATTAAAAAAAATGCAAATTATAAAAAATTCAATCATTGCAAAAATTCATTCAATACAATTTCAATTATAAATACAATTTAATACAATTTAATACAATTTCATTTCAATTATAAAAAAATGCAATATTATTTCTATCTACAACATCCTAACCTAACGATTTTCATCCTACATTGTTAATATATGCAACTGATATATTTCACACCAAAATCCTTACCTATGAAATGAAATCCCCTTTTCACTTCTCTGCCCACACCCGGGCACACAACATCTCATGTCGCTAACTCGTAGCGGAACCGCGCGTGGAACGCGTTTCTGATTTGCTCAAATACCAGGCCAAACAAAAATGGTGCTGATCAATTTGTGCCACGTCCGTAGACGTATAATATATAGACTGCGCGTTTGGCTGAAAAGATGTCTTCAACGTTGAGAGAGACAACATACTTTGAATAGTAACTCTTTCTCTGTCTATCATTCACCCCACTACTTCGCTAGACAAAGATGAGGCTACTATTCAACACCAGCTGTCTCTCTCTCCACGTTGAAGACATTTTCTTAACATGGCAAAGGTAGGGAACGCGCAGTCTATATATTATACGTCTATGGCCACGTCTCGCTATGCTTGTTAGATGGAGATGCGCATTCCAGTGTATATAGAGTTCAGTGGAAAGCACCCCTTAACTCCAATTAGAAACTTTTCCAATTACGGAGCAACCCATATATGTAATACTTCTATATGGCTAGTTGAGCTCTCAGCGCGGTTCCAACACTACGGTGCAGACAATGCTCTACTCTCTTTATTACTCTTTATCACTGTTCAGTTTGTTCGAAAGCGCATGCGTGACATGTATCCATAATGCGTATATTGGCTGCGTTCCGATATTCACTGCCAGTACTGAAAATCTATAGCACATGTAACGTCAAGT